CAGGCTTTGGCAAGGCTGCCCTTGTTCGTTCTCTTGGCACAATGTGAACGCGTACTTGTCATAGCAGACTGGGAACGCACACAATTAAACACGTCAGCATGGGGTACCTGCCCTGGGCCGGCAGGGACACAGCACTCACTGTCACCAAAATCAGCGCCTCCGATACACACACTGCCACCAGACGGATGTGAATGTGTGTGTGAGAGGGGGGCAGATGATTAAGAAGTTAGTCTGAGCAGCATACAAAACAAAGCGTGACTGTGACCTCAATTTACACCATGCCGCAGTAGTGACACTCAATGTGGATATTCAGAGAGAGTGAGCGAGCGAGCAGAGAAAGTCTTGCTGTACGGCTCGAATACGCCATTCTTAACAGCCTGACTGGGTCACAGAAAAATATGTGTGCAACTGTGCATGTGTCCTGACAACCTACTTCCTATTTCTCTAAGAAATACATTTACTTGCAAAACGATATCATAGAGATAAAATAAGTGCCACGGTTAGGCCACAAAACTGCAGTTTGTCTGACAAACTCAGTGACAGTGTAGACATTGGCAAACGTTTGCACAAGCACTGTTATTCTTGTTTGTGACGAGAGGCAGAATTACCTCGATTATGTGCAAAAAGTCAATTAAATTAACTGTGAAAGGCTATTTATTTTAACCCGAGGATACATTTTTTCTGTTCTTAGTAATTATAGAAAAACAGCACAACATGTTTTGGCAAGAGAACAAAGAAAGAAGCTCTAAGACTAGTCCTGGCATCATACTGCCATCCTGTGGTCAGAGAGCAGCAAGCTGTTTTGGTTTAACAAGAAATGGACAAGACTGCACCTTGCAGCACGTATACCAGTATCTGCAGGTATACAGGTATACTGAAAACATACACAATAAATTAGTACTTTTATTTATTCAGCAAGGACGCATAATAAATTGATTAAATAAATGCTGTTCTTTTGAATTTTCTATTAATAATTTTTTTTATCAGTTTCTACAAATACATTAAGCAGTACAACTGTTTTTGACATTGATAAGAATAAACGTTTCTTGATCACCAAATCAACATAGTAAAATGATATTAATTTCTATAATTTCATATACATTATCATATATAATTTCAATATATATATAAAAAAAAGAATATATATACACTGACTCCAAGCTTTTGAATGGTATAGTGTATAATGTTACAAAAAAAACTATTTCAGATAAATGCTGATCTTTAAAAAATATTTATCAATATTACTAATTTTGCTGTATTTTTGGATCAAATAAATGCAGGCTTGGTGAGCAGAAGAGAATTCTTTAAAAAACATTTAAAAAATCTTTCAGTCGAAAAACTTTTGACTTTTGACTGGTAGTGTAAGTGGGAGAGACTGATTTTTGTTTCTTTTTTTTTTGTATGTATATTTTGTTTTTCAAGGTGCCCTCAACCAGGGTCCTGGATGAAAGAAAATGCTTTACTACAACAATGAATTGTATGGGTTTTTCTAGAAAATAACATATAATTCAGCTCCATACACTTCATCCATACTTGAGCATTGCTGTACACTCTAGGTACTGTGCTGTGAGCTCAACCAAGCTGACAAGAAGTATAGCCAAAAACTGACATAGCAGCCAAGCAGCGATAGATTGATAATCTGTTTGACCAATATTTTACTGATATTCACATTTCTACTTAATTGATCAAATGATAAACTGCACCATTTGCCTGGTCTCTACAGAATAGCACTGAACAACACCATTACACCACTGTGTGTTCAACAGGAAAGAGTGGTTCAACATCCAATTAATTTAATATTTCAATATGTTGTTTGCATAAATTAGATATTAGAGAAATGCTTGACACGTAAATTATTATATTATTAAAATGTGTGCAATGCATGTTTTCATATATTATTAATTTAGTTATCATTGTATCAGAAACAAAACAACAATTAAAAATAATTTCTGAATATCAGTTATCGGACACATACAAACAACCCGTATGGAATCAGTCATAAATTAAAAAATTAAAAAACATAAATAAATCCCTCTAATCTCTGATTAGGATCTAGACGATGTATCTATCATGCCAGTTTTTACTAATGCAATTAAATTATTACATTTATGCATTTAGCAGATGCTTTTATCAAAAAATGACTTTTATGAGCTGCTTTATGAACCTTGCTGGGAACAATTGTGATTGCAACTTAGCTGTAATCATTAAATCATTAAATGAGCATGACATTAGCAACGTCAAGGTCATTGGTTCATTTCCCAGGGAATTCTTGAACTAATTATTTGTATATTTTGAATTCAGTGTAAAAACAGTGCCTTCATATTTTGATTTAGCTTTAGCTGACTGAACTTCTATATCCAAATAAAATTTCAAATCAACTGTGATCATCTTGCAACTATTATTTCAATCATTTATTCCACAGGACACTAATGCAAAGTTCCAGTTTGCATCTGAATATAAATTAAGAATCACAACATCTGACAAAAGTAGAAGAGAAGCAACAAGACAACTGTGCATAAATCTAGTCCTTGGACGTTTGATGATGACGGTTGCTTGCTTGAAAGAATCTGGGGACTATTAAAAGATTGCAATGATACATTAATTCATGTGTAATCTATTTCTGCTCTACTGGTTTTGTCACTAACTCTGAATAAACTAAGCAGCTATTTCTGTTTTACTGTTATCTTTTCAAAATCACAAGTAAAAAAATAAATAGAATAGCAAATGCAAGCAAACACTCACACACACTTGGAAATGCAATACTGAGGCACAATTGCCTTTGACAATGACATCAGCACTAATGCACTCCTCGGCTGAAACTGAACAAATAAAGAAAATTATCTGCATAATTAATATGCATCTTAGGTGATACCACAACATCAACTCTAACACCCAGGCTGGGTGATGAAGCTTTTAGTCATGTACCTGCTGGTTGGGGAACTGGCAGAGGATGTAGATGATGTTGTTGGCTTGACAGCTGACCATGAATGTAGGCCATGAGGTCCCATCGGTCCAGCTGGGGTGGAGATAAAATCACTAGATTCCCATCAGTCTCTTCTCTCAGTTACACACACGCATATACAAAATGACTCTGAGTGTTATATTTGTTATATCAATTATGGTATTATATCTGGAGTAGGAACTTATTATACCTCTAGCTCGAAGTGAGGGTTATGGCAGGTGCTATGTCTTTAGGTGTAGGGAATTGGACACAACATGTAAATTTCATTGTTTTAGCTGCTGAGATTTGCACAGGGATGTGCTACTGTTTCGGCTTAATTTGGAGCACTGGAGCCATATGCAGCTGTCAAACATGCACAAAATAAGGCTTGAGAATTAAACCTCTCACTTCTTTGAGCGTTTCTGAACACCGAACCTGCAGAAATATCACATCTGAAATGCTGAGTGATATGGAAATGAGGTTTACGGCACTCTGATCATGTTAATAATGCTAATCCTGGGATTACGGGCACATTTTCAAGGTGCAATTACATCACCAAGCATCTTGGGATCACCATAATCACAGATTGTGCATGACGCTTCAGTATAATCCTGCCTCATCCTTATTAACTTGGTGCCATCCAGACTCCTGTTAAATACTTTGTTTTTCCTAATTCCACCTGAAGAAAATGGCATCAACTCTGTCAAAAAATCTTATAAATCAGGCGAAATCAAAACTAGTCTTCATCCTGAAGTTTCGCTTTCCATATTTCACCTGGGTCCTGTTTCATAAAACAAGTTTACCAAATAAGACAGGCTTATTTCAGTTAGTTTAACTTATTGTCAGTTGATTTGGTTCAAAATAAATCAGACTAACTGAACTAAGCCTGGTTTATTTGGTAAATTACTTTTATGGAACAGGCCCCTGCTCGGAGTTCAACAATGGCCTATGATTGTTATTTTTGTTGTTGTTTGTTTGTTTATTTATAATTGTTCATTTCATTTTAAATAATAAATATTAGCAGCGAGCAACACCAGAAAAACAAAAATGGCTGGACCAAACGTAGTGCTGGAAATCATATCTTTTTGTTCCTTTATTGAAATTAAGCTGCATCTGACAATATTTAAAATGTATGCATAATTTTTAGATCTGACCATGCTGACCCAAGGAAAAACACCTATATTGTAACAAAATGGATGGAGGAGAATACTTTATTTATTCGTGACAAATTCAGCTTTTTACAGTTCTAAATAAATCAGTGTTTTTACAAGAACGAGATATGTTTGTGCAAACTCTGTGGTGCCTATATAAACTTTCTCAAAGAATCATCTCTCACCTGTTTGTGTGTATCTCTGGGCCACTTGCTGGAAATATTTTCGTGAATTATTAGTCCACAAACAGTCTTCGCGCTCAATTCAGTTCGTTTTAAGTGCACTGAATTATTTACGTGCACCCATATCCAGTCAGACACGTAGAAAATTAAATGAATCTGACAGATTTTTCAGATTAAACATGCGGATCTTAATTTGTAACTTGTAAATGTTGTTTCCTTTATAATTTGACTTCATTGAGTTACTTTTATTTTGAAAAAAAGAAAGAAAAAAGAGTTGGCGCTAGACCATTTTATTTTATTTATATGGAACTTCTCTAGTTATATTTATAGTTTAATAATAATGCTATCTTATCACTATCATCCAGTTGCAAAACTGAACGTAGTTTACCATTTAAGAAATGTTCTTTATCCAAACATCTTTGCTTATTAATGATAAATTAATAATAATTATAAAAATGTCTATGCGTTTGTATCATAAATCCTCAGGACAGACACTAACTTACTTGGATTGTTTTAATGAATAGGCCTATTATTTTATATATTCATATTTATATCTATTGCTACAAAATGTATATATAATAACTGTTCTCTAAATGTCAAACCAATTCAAAACTCCAAACATTTCGGGAAGAAAAATCACTGGAATATGTGATCATGTTCATATTTCTGAGAAAAAAAATTAAGTGACGTAACGTGTCTTTTATTTTGACTGCGGACGTCACGTTGACGTGCGGACGTCACGTTTGGTTCTGCTGCGCGGGAGTTGCAGTTTTGTGCCTTATTTTGTTTACACAGCTAACGTTACTTTTAACCGTTAAATGCATCTTTTCTTTGTGAAGTAACCCATCTGATATTCCTCTTAATCACATTACACCTGAGGTAAATGAAGTTATCTATGAGTGTTGTTTAAATGCAGTAATAGCAGAAAATATCTTGCTACGTATATGCTTATGATAACGTTAAAAACTTCTTTATCACCCCTGTAGCCGGTTGAATTGTGTATAGTAGTCCTCTTACAGTCATGTTAAGTGTTAGTTTAAATATTATCCATGTAGATAGATACATTTAGAGCAGATTCAAATCCTCAACAACAACAAAAAGTTAGTAAATTATTTTTCAGTTCTGTAACAGTTAATCTGTTTTGCCACATTATGAAATAATCAGTCAGTTTAGATGGTCAGCCAAACTTGGTGTAAATTTAGCGTTTACCCACAATTCACTTAGGTAGGGCAGTGCTGTCAAAATGAAGGCAGTTTTCCAATCTTATACAGCTCCACTGTCTGATTGTATCCTCAGACAGTGAAATCCTCCATTGGACACAGAATGGCTGCGGCTCCAGTGGAGTACACCATCGGAGGGGTGAAAATAAACTTCCCCTGCAAAGCTTATCCCTCTCAGCTGGCCATGATGAACTCAGTAAGATCTGTTGTACTGACAGATTTGTTCTTGTGTTTTACAAGATTACATATTAGTAATCCTTTATGATCAGTATCATCCTAACATCTTCATACAAAGTTTTTAAAATAGCTTCTTTAGTTTTAAATGATAGCTGTCATTCATGTTTTGATCTCTCTTAGATCATTCGTGGACTTAACAATGGGCAGCACTGTCTGTTGGAGAGCCCTACTGGCAGTGGGAAGAGTCTTGCTTTGCTTTGTTCAGCGCTCGCATGGCAGCAAGCACAGTTTGGTATGTCTAGAAATCTTTTCGACAACTTTTCTTTTTTGAAAGTCATTAAAACACTATCGTGGAGCAAATGGGAATGCAAAATATATATTTGTGGTAGTCTCCCATTTATTGCTATAGAAGTTTACCCACCTATGATGACTTCTACAGCTAAAAAACCTGGAAATGTGAAAAAGGTCACATGATCCTTCAGAAATCAGGAATTTTTCAGGATTCTTTGATGATAAGTAGAGCCCGACCGATATATAGTTTTGCCGATATTATCGGCCGATAAGAGCCTGTCGCTGATATAGCGGTATTAGCGAATATGCCGCCAATATGAATTTTTTTTACAGAACATATAACGCAGATAAAATGCTTGAAATGGTGTAATTACTTAGTTTGTAGAGCAGAGTGCGCGCCATTGTTTGCTACTGGCGACCTGGATGAAACGCTTTAAAGCTTAAGTCTATGGAAAACCATTGAAACTTTGAACGGCCATATCTCCGCACCAAATTTGGGGGATCCCTTCAGCTCGAGGAACCCTCTCAAACGCGAATCGAGTGTATGTCTAGAGGCCCGCTTTCGAATGAGACCACCCCCGCGTCGATAGCCCCCGGGGTTCGGGAGTTACGGGTGGTTAAATTCGCGATCCAGGGCGCAGACCGATCAAGCGATCCTGGGGGGCTACCGACGCACGGAGGGTGGCGTTCGAGAGGGCTCCTCGAGCTGAAGGGTTCCCCTGAATTTGGTGGAGATCCGCCGGCGCGTTCACGAGATAGTGATACCAGTCAACACTTTCACTTCAGTAAGGAGGTCTCTTGTATTCAAGCGTTGTCTTATTCGACCGGAAGTGCCCTGCGAAGTGGACTTCACATGAATTTCCGCCATGATTCCAGTTCCAAGGGAATGTACACGTTACGTTCAAAGGGCATTAAAGTGCGCGAGATGTGAATTTATATTGTATTTATTTACAGAGGTATATTATGTCACACTTCACACTTCTCTAGTAAGTTTCGTCTGTGTGTGAAGACAGTAGCGCAAATCCGTGAATGAATGTTCCGAAGTGAAATAAACTTCAAAGGAATAAAGTTGAATGGAATTTAATTGAATTAAAGTTGAATAAACTTAAACTTTACTGTTCAGTGCACTGATGTCAGACTCATTTTGGTTTACTGTTAAATTGTTAAATGTCCTGCCTCCATTATGTATCTTTGTCACGTGATCATTGCAAAAAATGTGTTTATGCATATATATTCTGTTTATGTATATACTGTATATAGTACCAGTCAAATGTTTGGACCCTGGAATGGGAAAGTGTCCAAACTTTTGACTGGTACTGTACTATAATATACACAAAGAATATCAGCCGATATATCGATATCGGCCTTTTTTACACCCTAATATCGGTATCGGCCACAAAAAACCCATATCGGTCGGGCTCTAATGATAAGGAAGTTCAAAAGAGCATAATATATTGTATTCATTGTGTATCAATATTCATTGTTTATCAATGTTAAAAACTCAATCAATTTAATGCATCCTTGCTGAAGAAGGTATTAATTTCTTGCAAAATTGACTACAATTTCCATCTCAAATTGATCACAACATATATCCAAGACCCCAAATGAACTATTCTGTTATGCTTCTTCACAGAGACATGCTAATCTGGCTATGACTTCTGTGATGATAAACTCTCTTCACGCTATAAAACATTATAATGGCTCTTATTTTGTCACGTGTTAAGGTAAAGAACAGGATGCATGTTCTAGTTCAGCTGACTGTAAGAAACCAGCAGTGGCTACTCCATGTCAGTGTGTGTGCCATAATCGAAATGCACACCCCACTTCCAGCAGCACAGCATCTAAACCACCTCTGGTTGATCTTCCTTGTGAAGGTACTTCTGCTCAAGCTCCAACCCCTCTCTCAAAAGAAGGTAAGCATTTTCCGAAACCTTTTGACCAAAAAAAAAAAAACATGAAACACCATGATAAATTACTTAAATGGTGTCTGTTTTCATAGAGTATGGTTTCTTGTTTCAGCAGTCAATAGTGACCAGTCTAAGAAGTCCACTTTGTCTTCCCGTCTCTCTGAGAAACTTCAGGCCTCTCTCTCCAATGGAGAACAAGATGATGATTTTAAGATTGACAGGAAGCGCATTCGTACACCAAGCACAGAGCAGAAGGTACCTATACAAATAGCTTCTATTCCTGTGACATTATTGATTGGCTTGTTGAGTCTTGTCATCACACTCAGCTTTTTTTCTTTCCACAGAGCAGCAAGCAAAGATGTCTCGAGCGAGGAGTGATTTACATTGATGATGATGAAGAGGCGGCGCATCTGGAGAGACTGGTGCCCGGGGCTCAGAGTTGGACCATGGAATTGAACAGTGGTGCCAGAGCTGACAGCTGCCAATCGCAGCCACAGTGTTGTGTGAGTGCACCTCAGACACATTTTCTGCTCTTATCTCTAATTGGGAGACTATGATGTAATAATGTGTCAGTAATAGCCATGGAGAGCACTGTTTGATATTTCTCCTCATTTCATCATCCAATACCATTAAAGGGATAGTTTGCCCAAAAATGAAAATTCTGTCATGATTTACTCACCCTGATATAATTCTAAAGCTTTGCCGCTGCATGTCGCCAGGGCTGGCGATGAGGTTGCTAGTGGGCGTTCTCACTACTGGTTGCCTTGACAGCGAATCAAGTTTCTTGCCGCTAAATACAAACATTTTGGAGGCAAAAGACTAAATATAATATAAACAAAAATGAATGAGAAACAGAGCCTACTTTTTTCCATTGCGTATGGTTATCTGCAGCTGAGAGGAGAACGATCTCATGAGCTCTACTATCCTCTTTCCTATTGGCTGTCACTCCCGAAAGTCACTCTTCATATGCATAAAGTTGAAGGATTCTTAACTTTGTCACGTCGCTGGACACGCCCCATCCGTCGCCAATGGCCGCTGACGCACTTGTTGCCGTAAATCGCCAGCTCTCTATTGAAATGAATGGGATCGTGTTGCTTTGTCGCTTGTAGTGTGAACGGGGCTTAAACCTGTATGACCACAAAAGAAGATATTCTGAGCACAAAAGAGGATATTTAAAAAAAATAATGGTATCCAAACAGTTTTGGTGACCATTGACTTCCATTGTATGGAAATATACTAATATATAAGCATTTTTTCCAAAATATCTTCTTTTTTTGTTCCATGGAAGAAAGAAAATCATGCAGGAACAACATGAGGGTGAGTAAATGATGGCAGAATTGTAATTTTTAGGTGCACTATCCCTTTATCCCTACTTCAGCTGTTTTACCAAGGATGCCACTGGAAATAGTATGTGTTATTAAATAAATAAGATTATAATAAACAATATTATAATTAATTATTTAGTTGCAACTTATAATTATTAAATAAATTATGTAGTCTTATATATTGCATGTGTTTTGTTGTTTTATTGTTGACCATTTGGTGGCAGCAGAGGATGGATCAAAACAGATTTCAAAGGTTCATGGGGATATTTTTGGATTTATTTTGGGGGGTTTTCACACTTCTTTTGGACGCTTAATTATGTGTCTGTAAGCATGAATTATCTCTGTTAAATTACTGTAATTTGACTAGTACTGTGCCACAAAAAACCATATAACTCATGATTAAATGTATACACACATAGTTGCTTTCATCCTACATACTGTAGGATGGCACCAAAGCAATGTCTGCTTCAATGCAAAACAGGGTTATAATAGACATTGAGGATGCTGGATTTGTTTAGTTTTAGCTTATAGACATTGTGGGAAGGCCTTTTGGATGTCACTTCTGTTTGAAATCTGCTTGATCTTTTATATACATAATTTGATAACCTTAAACAAACAATTGGCACCTCATCATTTCCATCAAGCAGAAATCCTGCAAGAAAAAACAAGAAAATCTGGATTTATGAAGTGTTATTATGAAGATGGTGCATTTGTTTTGTTTGAACGATGCTGATATGTAGGGCTATAAAATGTATAAGGCCTCTTAGAAAATCCGATGCAATGTAACAAACACCACAGGTATTCATATAGCCAGTGGTGAAAAGAATCTGTGTCAGCGTGATTGTCCTGTCACACCATAGGACATATTGCTTACAACTGGCACAATGGAAAAGGAGTGACTTGTGCTATGCGTTCCTCAAGATTGGTGGACTGTCACCGAAGAGGATGGCCCTGGCCTGATGGGCGGGCCGATGGGTGTGTTGGGTAAGGGAGGGAGGGAGGGAGG